CCCCAAAACCCCAAAACCCCAAAACCCCGAATTAGCTTAAATTAAAACGATTAGGGTAATTTTCTAAAGCAAATTTAATTGTTTATACTCCTTAATTTAACAATGGATAAGCAGGCTATTGACAGTCTAAACTTAATTGAATGGAATCAGCAAAGAACTTAAAAACGATACGGTTCTGTCAAGCGAGTGAAACTAAGGTCAGACTATAAAACAAGAAAATAAACACCGTCTCAACGAACTTATTTTCAAGAAATCAACAAAGTGTGCGAGGATTTAAATTTAAGTGGATGTAACACTACCAAGCATTATATAGAAAGTAAATCAAATATGAATAATAGCAGTGGAAGCCAAATAGCTAATGTAATTCAAGCAGTAAATAGTACTACCTTAAGTCCTGCATTGAGCAATTAGAAGAATATGGTTAACATATGACACGAGAGAATAAAGAGAATCAGAAACCCCAGCACACTCCATAGTTCAAGTAATTAGAACGCTTATAAGATCAATAATTCATAAATAAAAAAACATCAATTCATACAGAAAGCTGCACCAAACATGTACCAAAAACTTGAACCAAATATTAACATAACTCTGGCGGAAAACTAACCTAATTCAGTTTCTCGCTATGAAAGCACAGGCAATAATGAATTGCCTAAAATGGAAACTGCAAGTAAATTGGAAAAACTTATTAAGGATATGCTTTCAAAAGGTGGCGAATAATAATTACTTGCAAATAAATAAATATCAATTAAGGTTGAGGATTAAAATGTGCAGAGTTTGTGTCAAGATGCCGTAAACCTAAGCAATTACTTAGATATTCAAATTTAATCTGAAAATTAGCAATAAGAATCACTAAGTTTTAAAGAGGAACCCAAAATATCTGATAACATGGTACTGGAAAAAACATTATAAGCTTAGAGAATCGATATTTTAGCTTTATAAGAAATAGAGAAGTCAAAACAGGAACTAGAAAAACGAATCAAAGAAAGATATACAGTTTTGAGAAGTATTTCAAGAAAAACAAACACTAAAAAGCCTACTATCATCACCTAAAATCAGCCATTAATGCCAAAGGAATTAATAATGCTAAATCAAAGAGTTCAATCCATAAGTCATGTAAGATAAACATCGATAAAATACGATTTTCATCCTTATCAGCAAAATCTTAACATAGCTAGTTTTGGTAGCAGCTCTTCAAAAATGAAAAAGATTAAAAGACACAATAAAACTACTCTCATCAATCCTATAAATAATGAACAGCACAATGGAAGGTTAAGTTCATTATATGGCAACCTTACCTTAAAGGATAAATCACCTACAGTTTTATCCAAAACCTCAACTATGAATAATAATAATGCATCGTTAATTTACGACCCCATTCAAGCTCAAGCAAGTATAATATCTGCTAAAAAAGTAAATAAACTTTAGAAAAAGAAGATTGTCATCTAAGACAACTTTAATTTTTCTTTAAAAGAAAGTATAATGAGAGATATTACTCCCATTAATGACTCAGCCAATAGGTATTTTGAGCCTATGATTTCTATCTCACGAGTTGGTACTGGAAATCATTCCTAACTTAGGTAGAGACCCCAAAGAATGCCAAATCAATAAAATAGTTTGAGATGTGCTTCATCTACGATGAGACATGCCAGAACTAGAAGTGGTTAGGTACCATAAATATATTTAAGAAAACAAAACTTTCAAAGAAACGAGACCAATCTTAAATCTCAAAACCATAAGATTGCTTCGCTGTCTCCAGCCAGTAATAATGAGATGAATGATAATTTAAGAGCAGATTCTGTTCCTTTAGATTCTTAATTTGAACATAAATTTCCTCACCTTAAGAATCTTATGCCATAAAATTTGCAAAGTGATGAGTATGATATAAATAGAGCTAAGCTAAATGAGAGTAAAAGGGAATTAAGATCAAAATAAAATCTTAATGTAAGGTAGAAATTGAATTTCAGGTATATACCTGGCGAAGATAACATCCATTAGTAATACACAACAGTAAATAGTGAAAAAGAGCAAGAGGACAGAGCGTTTTGTAAAGATTTAGATAAAAGCCAGTAAATGAATGAAACAAAAACAAAAATTGAAATACACATTCAAGATGAGAATCAGTTCCTAATTACTTAAGATGTAAACTTGCCAATGAGAGAGTCGGCCTTTAATACACCCTCTCATCAGAATCCTGACTTTGTTTTCTAGTCAAACATTCTCAACACAAAAAATAAAAGGTTTAAGAATGTTTGGAGGGACTAGGCTGATACTGACTCAGCTGGGCTTTCCAAAACTACCTTGAGCACCTAGAGACCATTACTTTCAGGAGGCATAAATTTAGTTAATGCTCTGTAATACTAGCAAAACGGAAATTAAAAGCCGACATCTAAAATGAAAATGGTGAGCTATTAAAAAGGGAGATTTAGCAGCGATTGTTCATTTATCAAACTCAGGTAAACTATCTAAAATGCTTAAAAGCATTCTACCGCCATTGATGGTGAAGATTCTTAGTGCAAGTTTGAAGATCCAGATAAAGAAGAAGTGAAAGCAGAAAAAATATCTTAAGATAGCGTTGTTTAAATCAATGAGGAAGAGGAGTATATCGAGGATGAAGATAGTAAAAAGAGCATCAAAAAGCCTCTAAAGCCTTTGAAAACTCATTCCTCATCCCACAAGAATACTTCAGGTAAAAACTAACCAACTTCTTCAATGAAAAATCATTCAATATATGAAGATAGCTAATGTAATATATTGAGTTCTCATCATAGTTGTAAAAATGAATAGTTCAATGAAAACATGAATAACAATTAACTTCACTCTGATGATGAGATAGAAATAAGAAGAGGTCTTGAATCTTCTACTCATCGAAGTCTAAATCCAAAAGAGCCGGAATTCTTAAGATAGAGTACCCACTCACTATTGGGTAAAAATAGAGGGAATACCTTAGCAGGAAAGAAACCCTCAGGTAACAATATAATGATAAGTTAGGACGAAGGCTATGCTAATGATAATAATGAAGACGATGATATTTATGAGAGGGTGGAGTTGTATAACGATTCGTATGAGAGTTATTTGAAAAATGCTGATAACTTCATTAAATTATGAGTATTATTTATAAAGACCCAGAATTTTACCAGCTAAATTAAGGATAAACTTTTCTTTAAATATATTAGATTCCTTTCCGTTTAAGAATTTTTCTTAATTTATACTTTTCGTAAAATATATTAACTTACTACTTGTGGGGTTTTGGGGTTTTGGGGTTTTGGGG